CCTCATCTCTGCTTCCCACAGCTCTCCTTTCCTCCACTAATTATGCAGCTTTTCAAGTGAAATTTGTTCACTCTTGGACACATCATGTCTCTCTTGCATCCCCTCCACTGACTCCCTCTTGTCCAACACATAGCATTGGGAAATCTCATCCTTATCATCAGCACGTAACTCCATCTCCCACCTCATCTTGCTGCGCTGGCTGGTGGCCTGCTCCACCATAGCAAGATTATCCCATTAGTTGCTTCCTGCCAGTCTGCTCCTCACGCCTCCAGCCTCTGCGTGGTCCACCCACCCCAGCCTTCCCTCTGTGCTCCGCTCCTCTTCCCGTCAACTCTCACGCGAGCATTTTCTGCTCCAAAGAGTCGGTAGCAATGTGCACTGACAGGTGGCCAGAACACAGGTAAGTACACCATGCTGTAGACTTGTTGCTGCCTTAACTTATCAGCACCCCCGTTCCTGGTGTTCCTTTGTCTATAAAGCACACTGTGATTTGAGAGCTACATAATTATAGCTGCCATTAAGCATCCTATTCAGAGACTGCATTGCTTATTCCTCACTGTTTTCTTTAGCAAGAGCTTCCATTCAGGGTTTGGCTCATGTGCAAAGGGACTTTACAGCTGTCTTTTTTTTTTTTTCCTCCGCCTTGCAGGAGAAACCAAAGTAAACATAGGTGATGTTGGTTTGGGTTTTTGTTTCTTCAGCTCTTCCCTGTAGCAGTCCTGTGAAGTAGAGTAGTATTTTCCTCATTTACAGATAGGGAACTGAGGCACAGCAGACAACTTGGCCAAGGCCCCACAGGGTAGCTCAGCTGAATTCTGAATTGCAACCAGTTTTGAGTCCTTGCCTATATGGGAATTGAAAGATTAAGCAAGAGACCTGGGTCAGCACTATTTCTTACAGGAAACTGCCTCAAACTGTTGCCCCGTGAATGGGAGCAGGCAGGAAAAACAGCTAAAGGCCTTTCTGTGCATGCTCAATCAGCAAATACCTTGCTGCAAGAAATGCGCCCGTGAACGCAGTTGTTCCTTTCTGCTCCCTTCAGAGGACTCTCTTACCTATTTACTCTCACATGGAAACAACAGCTGAAGAACTGAGTGGGAGGCTAGAAGCACTTAACTCAGTTGCGGCAATTCTCCAATTCAGCAGCTAGGTTTTCTCCCTGAGGCAGTGTAATATGACAGAAAGGAAGCATCTGAAAGCATTTCTTCATCCTTTGGACTGCAGTCTGTCACTGCTGCTGCAGAAGTGACACACCTGCCTGCAGCTCTTTGGGTCGCTGCAGGGAGAATGGTGAAGGCAAACACTTCTTCCTCTCCACCCTGAAATCACCTTGTTTCAGGCTTTTTAGCTCTGCTAATACTTGGAAGTGACTAATGCACCCATTCCTGCGCTGGGTTGGCAGCCCTTGCAAATGAAATTTCAGACTCGGGACAAGCAAAGAGCGGCTTGCTGCGCATGTAGTAGTCTTCCCACAAACTCCTGGATCCCGGCTGCAGAGAAGAGAGTCAAGAAGATGCAATCTCCACCAAGCCTTTGCGAGTCTTGCTGTGGTGCCAGCCAGCACAGGGAAGGAGTTATAGTGTTTAATAACAACCATGGCACAGGCACCTATTTATTTACCCTTCCATTTCAAGACGGCAAAGCCCCATCACCTCAGGCTAACCTGCAGCTGGGACACTGAGAAGTGAAAAACACTCTTGTATCCTCCATCCCTTAAGCCAACCTGTTTTCTCTGCAAAAGTAATTTTTAACCAGTTGCTGCTTTTTATGGAGGGAAAAAAAACAAAACAAAACAAGACAACCTAAAGGTAGTATTGTTATCAGAGACATTTTGGTAAATCATGTTGTTTTGTTTTGGAGGATACTGGCCCTCAAAAAAAGGCTTCTACTATATAACTCTCAACCACTTTATCAAAAAAATGATACTTTCTTTTTAATATATCTGCCCCTGTTTTTGCTCCTATTTTGCATGTAGATGCTGACTGCTTTTGGGAGAAGTAAGATGTAGGTAAGGGGGAAGGCATCAGAATGTTATTCCTAAAGGTTTATAACAAGAGCTTGTAGCAGTTTATGTCGCAAGAAAAACTGCTAGGAAATTTATCAAAGAATATATCATGAGGTGGGCTATTTAGGGACTGAAATTACACAGGAAGGACTGGCAAGAGGCATATGCTCAGGACAAGCACAGTTGCAATTAATGCTAAGTATAAGGTGTCACGTCTTTATCTCATGCACAACCTGCACTGCCTCGCAAAGGAAAGTGAAGCAATTAGGCCCAAGTAACCAGAATATACGTGGGAGGTTTTTGAAGGCAGAAGATTTAAAACACTCTAATGGGGTTGGGGGAGGGTTACAGTAAGAGGTAATATTTCCTGATAGGTTAGTTTACATCCTTTGGAAAACGTTTTGGAACCAGACCAGAAAAGTAAGCAAGACCTTAACCAGGACTTGGCTGGGACAACACCCAAAGAAAGACGAAAAGCAAAGAGACCCAACCCTGCCTACGCACACACAGCCCCTCCAGCGAGTAATCCCCAGGATCAAAATAAATCAAAGGGCTGATAGTGTAGTTCTGTGTGGATTTGCAGCTGCCTCGGCCCAATTCGAAAGCAGCCTTCTCCTTTCTTCTTTCTCTTGAGCCCGTGCTAAGAGCAGAGAGGAAAACCTGAGCTGAAACAATAATGACCCTCTTCTAGAGCGGAAACCGGGATGCATTCCTTGATCCCAAAGGGACCCAGACAGGTATTTCCCCCCACCCTGCCTGCCACGTTTCTTCTTCTCCAGTCCCGCAGGGTTGGGTTACCTCTGTGACAGAGAGGGCAGTTTGTTTGCACAGCCCTTTCTACCAGTGTTTGCGGCGAGGCTGTCAGCCGGAGGGTCAGAGTATATCGAAGGGGACTGAATCATCAGACCTTATAAAAACTCCATATAGGAAATACGCTTGGTCGGTGTGTATTGCTGCGAGAACAGGGAGGGGGGGACGGGACACATTCATGCATTGGGAAAGGGTCTCTCTCAGCTTTTGCACAGCTCCTTGCCCCTATTTATCGTATCAACACACAGACAACACTTTGTCTTTTAGAGTGAGAGATGTGGGCTAAACATTTCATCACAACAAACTGAAAAATCTCTGCTGCTTTTACTTGGATGTGGGAAATGTTCGCTTGCTTTTAAATATAAAACTAAACATATATTTGTGAACCTACTATTGCTTTCATGTGGGAGCCTTAGCTGAACACAAAGGATTACATTGTGCAGCTACGAATGAATAGAGCACCTAGGATTAAAGAGATTTTATTTAGCCACACATGAAATAGCAGAGCTGATGGCAGCCTCTGGTACAGAAAAAAAAAAAAACAAAAACAGACCACACCAAGTAGTTTAGTGAGCACTGGAACTAACAAAGCCGTATCTCCTGTGTATTTGTGTGTTGTGGTTGATTGACTAGGGTGTCTAAGATGGCATAAACTTCATCTGAAGCTTTTCATACAGATCAGGCACTTATTAGTGTTTTCACTTTTATGGAATATCTGAAATTAATCAGGCATGAACCCATGTTGTAACTTTTCCTGTTGGGGCCTGTGATAGGGTCTCTTTTTGCTATCAGGCCATTTATTTTCACAAAATCTCTAGGGATGTAATTATGCTTCTGCCAAATTTTTTTTCAAAATCAGCCAGTGGGTTCAAAAGTTATTAGAGAGATGGACAGACAGGCAGACAGATGCAAACACCATGACCACGTAAGCCTCATTTCCATTGGAAATCAGGCTAAAAAAAGAACCTATATTGAAATTAATTTTTAAAGAGGACTTGGTAGGCAGAGGAGTAGACCTCTGCAAAGTGTAATTTCAAATTTTGAGTGAATTTCATGCTAGGAAAAGCTATTGATGAAAGTCTGGAATACTAAAATACTCCCTTCTACCTAAAGGAGAGGAACAGCACAGGATGAGCTCCGGTGCCCCACCTCATCCTTGGATTTTTAAGCTAACTCACACTGAGCGGAGGCAATTGCTTATAGAGAGGAGACAAAGAGCAGCTCTGTTCCTACAGTTTTTTTGTGCATGAGAGCACTTAGGGCTAATCACATATGTAAAGCACTGCAAATGCCTCTGAATGTTTGTATTTCACCACTGCCTTGCCTTTACCCCCGTTTCTTTGCTCATCCCTGCCAGCTCTGTCCCTGGGCTGACGGGGAAGCACGGCTTGTTATCCTTTGTGTACCTACGCACTGCAAACCGCAGCGGGGCCTGAATCTTGATTAGGGCCCCTAGCAACTCTCGCATACCACGCAAAAAATCGTAATTTAACATTACAGCCCCTAGTCTCTCAGCTGGGACACGAGTGTCGGGCCGGGGGTATTTATTCACGTTCCCAGCCCGAGACTGGGAGTGGGGTTGTTTTATTCCCAGCTCTGACACCAGCCTGGTGTGGTCTCGGGGCAGATCGCTCTCTCCTCGTCCCACCTGTAAGCAGGGAACCCACCTCCCGCTTTTTGGGGGTCGCTGAGCTGCTGCTGCCGCTCTGTAAGCGGATTCGGAGAGTGGACGGCTCGCAGCCGGCCGCAGCGGGCGGCCCCACGGCTTGCGGCCGCCGTGGTCCGTCTGCCCACGTCCCGTCCCGTCCCCCCTTTCCCCACTCGCGCCCCTCAGGTGTCCGCCACGCCTGAAGAAAGGCGGGGAAACCCCTTTCAAGTAGATTTTTGCGTTAGCACGCCAAAACACACCCGCGGCCCGGGCTTGGGTTCTCCGCCAAGCACTGTGGTCAGGAACCCCTGCTGCCGGCCATGCCGGGGTCGGCGGGGGGGGAGCCCACCCGTGTCCCCGTGTGTGGGAGAGGGGTAGGACAGAGGGGACGGCCGCGTCCCCAGGGGAGCGCGAGGGGCGGCCGGCGCAGGGCGGCGTGGCCGCTCCACCCGTCAGGGCGGGTTGGGGCAGGCCAGGTGAGGCGGTCCCGGCTCCGCTTTTCCCTCCTTCCGCAGCCTTCCGTAGCCCGCCGGCGGGATGGCGGAATCCCAGGTGCTTCTGCTGGACGAGTCGCACGTCAACGAGAAGGTGACGGAGGCCCAGGCTCGCTTCTACTACAGCGAGGAGCAGCGGCGGGCCCTGGAGACGCTGGTGACCCGGGGCGAGGCGGCCTACCGGGAGGCCCTGAGGAAGGAGCAGCTCCGCGACTTTCTCTCCAGCCATGAGCTGCAAGCCCTGCGGGGCGGCTGGCGGGGATACGACGACCCCCGGGAGAGCGGCAAGGCGGCGCGGGGACCCGGCGGCGAGACCCTCTCGTTGGCCTACTGGCCCGAGCGCTCGGACACGGAGGTGCCCCCGTTGGATTTGGGTTGGACCGACAAGACCTTCTACCGGGGCATCAGCCGGGTGGCCCTCTTCACGCACCCGCGCAAGGAGGAGAGCTCGCCCCACCTGAAGGAGGTGGTGCGGGAGATGATCCAGCAGGCGCAGAAGGTAGGGCCCGGCCGCCACACCGAGTGGTTGCCCTCGACGGGACACCCCTCCGCGTCTTCTGCACCGGGGGGAGCCCGGGCAAAGGACCTGGCTTGGTGGGGATTCCGGGGTGGAAGGGAGGCGAGACCCCACCACCGCTGGGGCTTTCCTCGCCGGTTCCCTCCGAAGCGGGAGGACGCCCCGGTCGGCATCCACTGGGCAGGGCTTTCCCGGCGGTTTGTTGCCGGTCACGTTACGGTTTGCCAAAGCTGGTGCCCGGGAGGGGGTTAAACCCCTGCACACCCACCCCCCGAATTGGTTTTTTTCTACCTATGTTTCAGTTTGTCCTGTCCTAGTCCGATTCCCTGGCTCAGGGGAAGGCGGCTCGTGGTGCTGTTACAGCCACCCCTCCTGTACGTACAGGTAGCCCTAGTTAAACACAAGGCAGTGAGCTTGTTTAAGGGGTGGTGTTTTTTGGGTTTATTCTTTGCGGTCTCAACACCGTCCAGCCTGGACTGCAAGCAGCCAGAGTCCAGACAATATGCGGCTGCTCCTCCTATTTATCTTTGGCTGGAAAGGATTGTTAGTGGTGACAGGGCACCTCAGGGAGGAAGACAAACCAGCCGTGATGCTACGAGGGCTTAGCGTTGAAGAGGTGGGGGCAATGACGAGGTTCTTCGAGGTGTGAGTGAAGTTTCCAGGGAACACCACCCAGGAAAAGATCCCCTTCAGAGCTGACATCCCTCCTGCGGAAAGGGGGTAACAGCGTAGGAGACCTCATTCCTGCTCTTAGTTTTGCTGCTTTCTGTTTTCCAGCTTTCTAACTCAGCAGTTATGTCCTCCTCCACCTGCTCCCTGCCCCCCCCGCCATCCACCAGCTGGGAAACACAGAAAGCTTTCCAGAGAGGCATTAATCCAGCGGGTGATCTCCTCAGCTCCCTGCTCGCACAAATACGTGCACACCCCATAATCCTGTTCAGCGACTGGTGTTATCAGTGGTATAGAAGAACCAGAAGCTGTAAAATCCTTACACTCCGATTTAGTGCGACTTCACATCCTCTTTGCGCTGCTGCAAATGCCTCTACAGATTGTGCAAGGACTGGGAAATTTTGCACTTTTTGATAGCTGTGCCTGGCACCTAAAAGTAATTAATTCCTTTGTAGATTTTCATTTTTTCACTGACTGGATGAACTGTGCCCCTCCCAGCCCAAAGGTGGTTTCACATTTAACAGCCATTTGAGTGTTTAATGGTCCTTTTCATAGATAACTATGCCAATTGTGTTCAAGTGAGCTGGCCCTGGGAAAAAAGTCTCCAGGTAGCAGCTTTTCATTCAGCAGAAGAGAGTGGGGTTTTGTTGGGTTTGGTTTGGGTTTTTTTTTTGGGGGGGGGGTGTCTAAACAGATGCTAGTAATATGTGGCACATGTCTGTGGGTGGCTTATCATCAGTGTTTTACAAACATATGTTAATTAAGCTACCTTGCCGCAATGAGATTGGCAAGTTAATGCTTGCCAATCTTCAAATACCTATGAAGAGCTAGGCACACCTATGGGTCCTATAGATAAATTTATAATCCGTAGGATAAGTAGAGGAATGGGGAAAACCTCTTGCAGGGGTAGACACTCATGCTCTCACTTGCTGTGTTTGGGAGCTCTCCTAGGCAATCTTAACAGGTGACCAGCTGTGGCAGGGCTTCAAGAAGACTAACGTAATGACAGGGGTTGCCCACTGCACGTTTTGCTGGCTTGGAAGTGCCATTTGCAAGGCAGCTCATCTGCTTTTTGTACAGGACTGCAGTTTTCATGGGTTTAGTCCACAGCCTTGCAAAGAAGCCTGAACTGACCCAGGGCCCCAAAGCCTGGAGGGAACCATGCCTTCATATTGCAAGGCCAGTACTAACAGTTAATGGTTTGTCCAGGATGTGGTGTAATTTCTGCAGTCATTGCACTCATTGCAAATGGAGAGGATGGAAAGAAAACAAATTCACACTTCTGCTGTCTATTCTTGATCAAGTCCTTATGTGGGTGTTCTTACTTCAAATGAATATTATCTGGCATTCCTGCTCCTAAATAACTACGTCCATACCACAGTGTGTGGAGCGGAGGGGGAGCATAACAGGCCTGAATTAATGCATGAACTCTTCATGCCTTAAATTATAATCTGCCTGTATATGAAGTTGTTCAGGAATAAAGTGGCACAAGTTCACTGTATTCTAATTTTCAGAGGTTCTGGTAACATTCGCTGCATCTTGCTGCATTGTGCTGGGAATCAAGAACCAAGGCTGGACCTGAAATCCAGTTCTGCCTAGCAGAAGTTATTGAGGGACTTACTATTAATATAATGTAGCTCCACCATAGTTCACCTATATCAGGAAACTACATGTTAATGATGAGCATAAACGCAATGATGTCAGCTCTTTTTTTTCTTTTTCTAACAAAGAAAAGCTTGTGTAAGCACTGTCAACAGTCGGAGCCTGACGGAGCAGATGTGTTGGTTGTTGTTGGCTGTATAAGCAGAGACTCAGCAAACACAGTAGGGGACATTTACTGTGGCGTCACTTTCCCAAAAGCAATTTGTTCAAGGGCATTTTTCAAAGGAAAGAGGTCTCTGCTGGGAATTATTCCCCCTTCCATAGGGGGCTCTTGCAACGTGAGCTGCACCTCTTCCAAACTTCAAGTGAAGAAAATCCTACTGTTTGATCCAGTCTTCAGCTCCATTCACACCTGTATGCGCCATCCTCAGCAGAGCTTGACTCGTCACTGTGACCCCAGCGCCTGGAAAATTAAAATTTAGGCAACTCTATTCCCAGCATACCGTCAGCATGAGAGCTCTGACCTGGCAAGTTGGTGTTTCTCGGTGGGACTAGGAAAACAGTAGTTTCCTTCATTCATAACCTTTCAAATGTTGGGGAGAATAACTCTTTCAGGCAGAAAAGTGAATTGATATTTCTAATGGTGTAAAAGATACAGAAAGGGAAAGACAAAACATGTAGAGATCAGCATTACAGTTGCCCATAACCTTCTTGGTTTTGTTGTTATTCATCCTATGAATGTTCAGGCTTGTCTGTCACGTCAGTGCAACCTTTTGTTTTTATGTAAAATCTATGCCTGGAAAGAGGGGTTAGTTTTATACCAGAAAAAACGTACACGTGAAGAGAAGGAATGATGATTTTGCCTCCAAACCTTGAGCACACACTCCAGTCCCTTCCTGGCAAATATGAGGTGTTTATGTTTGAGCTCCATAAGACATTCCTCAGGAAGCCAGCCCTGAGAGCAGACTTCTCACAGGGAATGGGGAAAAAAAAGGAAAATAAAATTCTTGTCTGCACTATGCACCATGGCTGAATATTCAGGCCCCGATTCCTCTGCACATTCATTCTTCCATTACTCACCTTCTGATTAAGTGTTAGAGCTGAGCTGTGGTTTTCACTCTTCTTTTTCAATCTATTTTCATTGTTCTTCTTTGTTTAAGTGGATCCTTACAGACACAACGAAAGTTTCACAATACCGAGGAAAAACTAGGTATTTGGCTTTGGCATTCCTCAGGCTGCTGAAATAAGTCATCTTCCCCTAGAAGGAGGAGAACTCTCAAAGACGTTTATTAAGTTCATTCCAAAGTGCAGCAGGAGCCAAGCCAGAAAATTACAAGATTATTGGTAGTGCTTGGGCACGTACATCCCTGTACTTTTGTCTCCCCTGTATCGTCCTCCTCCATATTCTGGTATCAGTGCTCTCCTTTATTTTGCACCAGTGTGATGGGCCTCCCTTTCAGTTCCTAATATTTTATTCAGTTGTCTGTCTACTGTCTTCTTGTTTCCAGATTATTGCAGTGGTCATGGATGTATTTACAGACCGGGACATCTTCCGTGATATTGTTGATGCAGCTTACAAGCGCTGGATCCCAGTCTATATAATCCTAGATGAGGAGAGTGTGAAGCTCTTTCTGGAAATGTGCAGATGCCTTGACCTCAGTGACTTGCAGATCCGGGTAAGATATTCAGTACGAACCACTATCTCCTGCAGGTCAGTGGCCTTTTTTGGTTGTAATGAATCTTGGAACTCACTTGGACAGAAAAACACATCTCTTCCTCCGTACAAGTCACATCACAGCACTTAGACAGGGGTTGATGGGACATAGAGGGATAAGAGAGTGGCTTGCTAATACCGAAAGAAAGAGAAAGGAAAGATTTGGATTTTTTGCCTTTCACCTGAGACAGGGGTCTATGTAGTTTCTTGGCTCTTGTGACCTAAAAATTCCTGTTTGGGAAGAAAATTGTCTGAGGAAATTCCTGTGGGTCTCCCATGCAAGGATTCAAACTAGAGTCCAGAGTAGCTCTTTGAGTTGTTGTCTGCATGGATCCCAGTTATAGAACACATATACTTTGTGAAATCAAGACTTTCCTATCCAGCAGTAATCATCTGGGAGTGAATATGCTTATAGTCCTCCTTTGCCTGAGAACATAAAGGACTGAGGAGCATAGCTGCTCCCCAGTTCCATGTCAGAGTATGCCTTCATATAGTGCATGCAGCACAGCGGAGTCGTCAGCCTAGCTTGGCTGGCAGAATCAGCCTCAGTAGGATCTCAATACATTACACACAGCCTGAAATCCTTTGTGTGTTTAGAGTTAGTGTTGTATTCCTTGGTTTTTTAATGTTTTTTTAGTCACTGTCACTACTACAGACTTGTTCCAAATACTGAAAAAGTTGTTAGGTAGGAAACAATCATCTATGGGATTCCAGACTCACCCCTCTTGTGATCCAACTGTTCTTCTGAGCAGCAGGAGGGGTGGGGGTGCCTTTTTGCCTGGAGGAAGGGCAGATCTTCCATAAATACTCAATTAATACTTTAAAAGAAAACACAACCAAAACTCAAAAAGCTCTGAGGATTATAGAGGCTCATATTAACCATTTTAGGAGAACCATCTTAAATCTGGATGAAAATGACTTGCATATATCTGAACAGTGCTCCTGCAAACTTCCACTCTGCTCTGAGTTTCTGGACTTCATCAAAAAAGACATCCAGCCAAGCAGCTTTCTCATCTTTCTCCAAAACAGAGATGGAAGTTTCTTTCCTCTGGTGTCTTTGAAAGCAAGACACAGACATCATTATAATAGACCTGTTTCAAGCTTCAGGGGTATTCTGTGGCCTAGGCTCAAACCTCTTTGCTACAGAACTGTGAAATCACAGCAGCAGTTCCATTTGCTCCGGTACCTGTTTCCCAGTACTCTTCTCACCGTGTCATCATGTGCAGGAATGATGCCTTCAGTACTGCATATTTTAACTCCTAGATAGAGTGAATGAAAAGATGCCCTGGCATTTTAGAAAAACTTTCAGTGGTACTGGAGAGATGAGTTCCTTTTTGTCTGCCTTCTCCATCTTTAAACAGTAAGCAGTCCCCTTCTGCTTTTCCTCTTACCTCTTTCTCCATAGGTATCTACGCAGACTTTATACTCCAAAACCAATTGTCACAGCGACATGCTACAGCAGTGGCTAGGTCCTGCAGCAGCCTACTTGCGTTACCCTTTCCAAAGAGGCAGAGTTCGAACTGATGCCATCAAAAGCAGGAGAAAATTCTTCTGTGTCCCTTCTGTGCTTCCCTTCTTTCACAGCAGCCCTTGCTATGTTTTTCATTAGACTCCTTCAGCTAAAAAAAGTCCAAATACAAGCTGGGCTGAAGGATGTCCACTGAGAACTTTTTAACATCCTTCTCTGACCTAATTGTTCACTCTTCTGCCAAGCTCCAGCCCACAGAGTGCTGTCCTTCAAATTTTTCCCCCTCTTCTCCCAGCTATCTCATACTGTACCTTAAATTCCCCTTAAGGTTGTTGTATTCCTTTTCCAGTGTGGCTAAGGCTTTAGTTAATCTTGTTAAGGTCAGTGCAGTTTATTCCTGTCTATGGTACTACAGAAGGACTGGGAAGAGTCTTCCTGTAAGGGGAAACGGTCATTTGCCTCTCAGGGAAGATGGCCTCTGAGTACTCTGCCCAGGGCTGCCTTGGGTGTATCTATGCTGCTGCTTGGGTCAGTATGGCAGAAATCATCACATAATGATTCCCCTGACACCAGGCTTTAGATATCCAAGGAATCTCAAGCAAGGTTAAGGCTTCCCCTTGAGGACTCCCCCCACCCTCACCTCATTGATGTAATGGGTCGAGGGTTGTTTGGAACTTTTAGTGTTGAAGACCCAGATTTAAAGCAAGAAAGCAAGCTGGGCCTCTGGTCTTGTTCAGGCAGAATCATTTTGTCTCACATTGCTTGATCATGGAGGAATTTGGAATTGCTGAGGAAGAACAAGAAACTCTAGTGCAGTTCTCTTTCATTCACCCATTTCTTATTTATGACATCATTCTCCTGATATCTGCTTTGCTGTCTGAGTTTCTCCTACAGATTTTCAGCAACAGGGAAAACATTGTCTCCTTACACTGTCTTTTTGCGTAACCATTTTGCTTTTTTCTAAAAGATTTTCACCAGTAGGCCACAGTTTGTCAGCAATGGAATTGCATACTCTTACTTCTTGCCCTTCTTCCCACCTTTCCTTCAGAATGCTTGTGCAAGATTTACAGGACGGCTTTTTCTCAGAACGTTGCAGCAATGTGGGTTCTAACTTTTCAGTTTTGAGGCAAGTTCTGACCCCAGGGAAAGAGAGAGAGAGATGAAACACTACCATGGGCTCAGATTGTTTTGTGATTCCTGCCCTTTTGCTTCCATTGCCCTGTTCATCCAATACAGAGTGAATACTTCAACAGTCCTAATCCAGGGAGATTTACTGTTAACACTGGATTTTGCCATTTGTCTACATACAGCAGTAGGTGTTCTCACAAAATTCCTGGCTATGGTGCCATTTTGAGATGGCAAGGTATCAGGATCTGCTGACAGTCTCACAGGAGGGAAACTGCTGTAGGAAGACAGAACCTCACTCTGCAAAGACAAAAACGTCTTTACTGACTCCAAGCATGAAATGAGAAAACCTCAATTTTTGTCTGAAGGCCAGAGATCACCAGAAATGCATTTAAATTCAACCATCATCATATTCATCCTGGGATGTTAGTAAGAGCATGTCTTGTGTGTATGAGTCATATGGCTTCCTGAGCCTACAGGACATGGTTTGCCAGACTTCTGTTATGTTTGACACAAAGAGTGTTCTTCAGAGATCACAACGAATCAAAGTTCTCATAGATACAAAACTCATAGCGCCACAAATTCCTCTTTTTGTTGACCTGAGGGTGAGGGTTCTCACCAGTTTTTAGGTGAGTTCTCTTTCTCCCCATGCTTCTGCTAACCAAGACCCCAGTAACAGACGCTCCTGCTCAAAGACGGGGAGTTCAGCTAGAGCTCCAGGCAAGCCTAGGGAATTAGTTACCTGCAGGAAGTTCACCTTCATGTTAATTTTTACAATTTTCCCAACATGTAAGGAGTTCCTCCCCTCACTCCAGGAATTCTTAGAAGTTTCTGCCAAAGACATTTTTGGAAGTTCATTTCAGTATTTCATGTCTTTCCTCACTGATTCCTAACTCAAGTGGGGGTGAAGCTGAATGTAATGTAATACAATGCTGTTGTTTTTTTAATTGTCTGTTACAGAAGTCCTCTAGGCTGCTTGTGACCTTTTGAAAATGGGGGTACAAGGCTCTCTTTTTGCAAAGACCCAAATGAGTAATACCCAGTAATGACCTTGGCAGGCCAGGTCCAGCTACCTGCATTCCATCCTTTTCTACTTGAATACCTCCGAGTTTTACTGTTTTGTCAACAAGCATGCCTTTTCCAAAACTGTTCAGGGCAAACACACAGGATAAGTCCACAGTATTTCCCAGCATTATTTGGTGGCTGCTTCCAGATTGTGGCTGCTTTTGTGTCCCTGTGTAAGACGAGCACCTACCACCCATCTCAGACCTGGAGGTCTGATCACCAGAAATGAGAACCTTGCAGACCAGGAATAAGGAAAGTTCCTTTACTGTTGTTACTGTGGTCCTCTCCACATGAATCCCATCTCTCTCTTCCTCTTTCCCCCCTTCTGTGGTACCTTCATCTAGGATTTTAAAGTGGGAAATAACGGATATCTGGGGCCTCCCCCTCAGCCCTGTGCTTAGGTGAAGCAGTAGGATGAGAGAACAAAGGACAGGAGCTACCCCACCAGAGTCTATTGACTGAAAGAATCTGATTTTTCCAGGGACAGCGGAAAGCGGATCTCCACATTTTGAAAAACACGATCAATAGAAGGGACTGTTGAATCACTGTCACCTATCAGCTACTGCTTTGGTCTGTTGCCTCTCCTTAATCTGTTTTACATCTGTTAGTTTATCGAGGTTGTTCATGCCATCCATCCCAACTTGAAATAAAGATCCCTGCTTGCTTTGCAGCATACATATCAGCGGTTGTTCTAAGAGGGAAGGAACACACAGGATTCCCTGGTGGAGGTACTTCAAATGCTTCCCGTTAGGGTCTGTCTCGTGTACCCCCCTCCTCAATCCCAGCCTGTGAGCACTACTGCCCAGGTCTGTCAAGTGACAACTAAGCGTCAGTCACAGCACAACCTATTAGTGGCTTTCTAAACTGGGTCTGATTTAACTTTCTATGGATTCAGGGTGAGGTTTAAAAGTGCATCACAATAAAGCAAGAAAGACTGATTCCTTCACTGTTTGCATTTGGATGCTCTGTCAGGCTTGACTGTTACCAGTCCATATTAAGTTGCTGCCAGGGAGACATTAGTCACTGCTTGTGGCAAGGAGTGGTGCAAGCCTGTGCAAAGGAAATGTGGAAATTTAATGCAGACTGCAGCTTCCATAAGCCAGATTATGACAACCATTAAGCAGGCTTCTGCAACAGTACAGATCTGGAGGGGTCACTTCTATCTGATGAAATAACTGGTACTCTACCCCAAATATTTGTTACTACTGGCTGCAGCCTCACCTCATTTATACTTGTCTTTCCTCTGTTGTTGTGTAGTCTTCAATACGTGACCCCAGGCTTGCTCCTCCTCTGTACAACTTGATATATCAGTCTAGAAATGCTCCAAGATCCTTCAAGGCAGAAAACATTATACAAATAACCTGTTGAGTGACTCGATGTTTATATGACTTTGTGCTTGTTTTCTGCATTTCAAGATGTATTTATGCACTCTGGTGCCTACTTTGTTCAAGGAGGTTTATGTGTTCAGCTGTTTGGTTCTATCCCCTCTGTGCCTTTCTAAGGGTTACGTGTAGCTCAGTTAATGCAGAAATTCAGACGTGCTTTCTTTACAGCAAAAGAAGGTGATATAACATACAAACACAATAAAATCCAAACTTGTTACATGCTCAGGAACTTTCTGCTCACACAGGCTGATACTTCTTGATTCACAAAGTTACATAAGGTGTCAGAGCTGTTGAACGATTTAAAAACAGAGGTCTTTCTTGAAACTTGCAGTCAGTATTCCATGATTTGGCAAATCCCACATCCAACTTTACTCAGCAAAGAAAAAAAATTATTTCAGCTGATCAGCCAGCCAACTACAAATGTTATTCTAAATACTGGAAAGGGCACCCTTTCTCCTGTGCTCTACCCAACCTGCATTCAGCATCCCCCACACATGACTCACTGCTAGGCCTTGGGCAAGTCACTTCATCTTTTTCTCTCTCAGGCTCCTCATCTTTAAAACAGGGTAATAATACTTTCAGCAGTGTTGGGAGCATTAATTAGCTAATGCCCACACAGGACTCCAGACAGACCAAGCAATAGATGAATGCAAAATAGTAGTATCATCAGTTACTGTTAGTCAGAATTTGTACTGCCACTGCTGTATTTTAGTGGGGGAAATAGGAGCAGATTCCAAAGGTAAGAGTTATATTCAGAAAACTGTTTTCTAAAGGAAATCTGCATTCTTAAAATCACTCGTTCCTGCATGCTGATTTCTATAGCCTATCAATATTTAAGCTGTCAGTGAGGTTTATAATAATGGGACTTAGCTCTTTGTGGGATCTGAGGCTGTGCTAGCATTAGCCAAATCCTCATGATTCTCCTGCTCTGCAGATGGGGGAAGAATGAGACAAAGGTGAATTGGCGTTCCCAGAACATCATAGCATGATGAATAGTGTCAGAACTGTGATTACACTTGGGACTATCTGACTCCCAACCCTGGAGTTATTACTACAGATCACAATACCTTTTAGCTTTTCATTGTTAAAGAATTCTTACAGAAACAGATGGTGGAATGAAGAAAATGGTCTAAATTTCTGTGTCAGAGCAACAAGATCATTTGCTCTAAACTCACACTGACAATGCTTTTGGACTTTTGGGGGCGGGGTGTTTCATGTTAAACAGTTTGGCAATTCAGCCTTGTGCAGCCGGGACCCATGAGCAGAAAAACACTCAGTCCAGCGTGCAAATATATCCTTACAGTAAGTGCAGGCACACATCTGTTGTTGAAAATCATGTAACCTTAAACCTGTGTTTTCTCTGTGCCTTGTAGTGATTTGTTTTATAATTTTCAGGTTTCCTGGCCAAAGGGTGTGAGACAGGAGGTTTGGGGAGAGGTACTATCGTTTTCTAACTACTTCCATTCATTTCATGAAAAGTTTTTCCTTCCCCTTCTTCAGAAATTCTTCTTTGCTGATCTATTCAAGACATCAGTAGAGACACTTATCCTACTCCTTTTGTTCAAAAAAAGTTCTGTGTTTTTCCACTCTCCGTTAAACAGTGAGGAATCTGGGTGGACACTGTAACTATTTGGGGTTCTTAGCAAAATGATGAAGGTCAGGGTTCTCCTTTTGTTATAACAGACAGGAAACATCTATCTTTTGAGCAATAGAATTGTTTCCTCCTCTCTTCTGTAATAATTAAATTGTCCAGTCTTCTAATTTGCCCAGCTTTGTCAAGCCATGTGTTGTTAGGAATCAGAACACAAGCACAAAAAGAACCTAATATAGACCTGTCTCATACATTACCCTCCAAGCAACTGTGTCCTTTGCGCTGCACAGGTGTTGCAAAGTTCCTTGGTTTTGTGGTCCTGCTAACGTAATCTGGAGAAGAGTTCACGAGTGCCGTGGAATAGGGATCAGGATTCAGAGAGTGCAGGCGTTACTCAGAACTTCCTCTGATTCATTCCCCTGACCTGGGCTGGGCCTTCTGAGCTACAGCACAGGACTGGAGGTGGAGGATTATTTGATTTTGAAAGCATTGTCTTGCCAGTGGGCTAAGATGAATAGCTGAAGACAGCAGGCAGTGTCACAAAGATGCTGACCCATTGGACAGGGCTATAAACTGATGGAGGGGAGTGACTCGCATAGACAGGGGATGACAACAGGTCTTACAGCACTATGCTTTCCTTTCTGCAGCCCTTCTGATTTCTGGTGGCTGATACAAAATGAGCTGTAGTCCCAGAAATAGTGAGATAATGTGAGTGACATGTTAAGACTTGGAGCTGGCAATCACCTAATTCTCTGCCCTATTTATTGTGACATTTTGTCTTGTCACCTCCCTGTTAGAATATCCGCGTACGTTCTGTGACAGGAGTTGGGTTCTACATGCCAGCAGGGAAGATCAGAGGCACGTTGGCATCCCGATTCCTGATGGTGGATGGTGAAAAGGTGGCCACTGGATCATACAGGTGGGTCGCTCTTGCTTAAGGCAAAGCTACGTTCTTTGCATAAAGAATGGCTTGTGGCTTTGCTTGAGAGTCTTCTTCCCGTGTCATTCCCTTTCTTATCCCAGCCCCTGTAATCTGTGTGGCATCTGTAGAAATTGGGGTGGGACAACAGGGAAGGTGGCACAGAGCACAAGCTGCTCCTGAGAGAACAGAACATGCCCGTGCCATTTCAGTGGGCCAGAGAGAGTTCCACACTGCATCAGGTGGTGGTCTGCAAGGACTCCCCACCAGCCACTGCACTCAGTTCTCTTCAGCGAGGTTTTCAGCGTGGAGAATCCTCCTGTTGATGCAGGCTTTTTTAAAAGGGTAAACTGTCCTTCAGAGTTTTAGGGCCTTTTCTTCCAGATCTGCATGCCTAACAAAGAACAATAATAAAGAGCTTCACGTATCTATCCTGACCCACCCTGGCAAGGGCATATGGGCAAATGGCACAATGCTACATATTCCCATGTAGTGTCTTAGATGTTATTTGGTGGGCTGTGTCAAGTATGCACCCCAAAATCTAATGCTGGTTCTGTTTCCTACTCTTAGCTTCACATGGAGTTCATCCCACATTGACAGAAACATCCTGCTAGTCTTGACAGGACAGCATGTGGAGATGTTTGATGTTGAGTTTCGTGAGCTCTATGCCATCTCAGAGGAAGTTAATTTCTACAGGGAACTGGGTATTGCTAACCCATTCCTTCTTGGAATTGGGAAGCCAGGCCTTCATTCCTCCACCGTGGCTCGGAAGTTCATTAACCCCAAGTATGGTTTAGTGGCAGGGGCAACCCGTGGTGATATGATGCTCTGGGCTTCACGGCACAGGCAGGATAATGAGGGGAACATGGAAAAGGAGGAAACAAGTGAGTCAAAGAAGCGGTTAAATCAGTTTCTGAATGACTTAGTCACATTGGAGCAGGAGTTCCCAGAAATTGATCCACCTCTGGAGAACTTGAACAAGCTGAATCGGAGCCCTCAGAAACTGTTCTCCCGGCTCCACGTGGACCTGAAAAATAAATCCAAATCCAGAGAGTCTATTCGTGATGTGAAGAAAGAAGATGCACAGGCCAACTCAAAGCAAGGAAAACGGTTTGCCAGTGGGCTTTTCAGTCGCAAGGCCAAACGGTCTCCAGGCTCAAGCATAGAGGCCAATTCTTTTGCCAGTGAAGGACATTCAGCAGAAGACCTTGGAAACATGAAACTGGAATATGAGCGGCTCAGCATTGGCCATGCCAGTGTTCGGAGCACTGGAGGCATCTCAGGTAAAATTTCTTCTACCAGCACATTCTGCTTCTGTGTCCCTTGTTCTGAGTTTGGCTGATTGGTGCAAGCATATTTAATATAGGCACCTGTGAGTAGATCCTATTAATTCCTCTATAATAAAAGCAGCAGGATCAAAGAAGAGTTGAAGTTGTATCAAGCGATACAGGCAATTTAAGTTGAAGGCAATTTAATGGCAGTCTTATTGTAAAGTTGGTACTTCTCATGTAAATGTTTTCTCATACTTCTCAGCGAGCGGGTATGGGACAAAGGGAGAGAAAGACAAATGTCTCCTTGTGTAAAACAGGTTGTGTGTACTGGTCATGAAGTGAACTGCCCTAAGAAACAGCAGCAGTATGTTCACTATTGTAGTGGCTAGCAGGGTGCAGACAGATTTTCAGTGTAAACCCCTCCTTTCCTCATTGGGGTTTAGGCAAATGTGTTTACTGTGACAAGTTACTGGCGGAGAAGAGAGGAAAATGTGTTTATGTTGAGGTGAGGGGGCAAGGAGTGGAGGAGAGGGTGGAAGTCTTTTTAATTTGCTCCTTTATCACCTTCTGAAATGGGAGAGAAGGTCACAAAAATAGAAGCTATGGAGAAGTACTAGATCTCTACTTTACTTTCTTTGCTAATGCATGTTTGATATTTTCACTAAGTCCTTCCAAGGCTTCATCCGGTTGAAGACACAAATGACACAGATTTCTCCCAATTTATGGGTTCATACCTAACTTCCCAATGTTTTAGATGGTTTGTCAGGTTGGAGTAAATCTATGGACTACTCAGCCAGGTTGTCTTCCTCTCTGTGAGCTGCGCTGCGTGTGAATACATCTTGTGCCAGCAGGAAAATAAACTAGTTCCAGTGAGAAAATTTCTCCTCAACTTGTCTGGCCAGAGACCATTCTGTGCTCTGATGAATGTGAAATGCAGGTGTAGAGAGATTCAATTCCCTTGAGACTGCCATGATGTGTAATGGAAAGACATTCTCCTGAGACCAAAAAGAAAAGCAAGGTATTGGGAAGGTTAACAACAGTGATTGATTAGGTTCTTAGAAATATTTCTGGCTGAATGAAGGACAGGCTCAAAAATGCTAAATGAACACAGGAGAGAGGAACCGTAAGAAGGCATGGATAGTTTATTTAAGACTATAGTAGACCCATTTTAGGATGTGCATTTGGGATTTGGGGAGGCAGAATTAAACCCTGGCCTAAAGAGGTCCTCTCTCCAAATCACTTTATGTCTTGTGCACAGGCAGTATGTGCTGCTGGGCCCCACTCCTCAGAGCCAGGAAAAAAACCCAGTGAAGACCTCTGGGGAGATGTATGGGCATTGCCTCCCGGAGGAATGGACCTGAGGGCTTGCACTACCCTCTAGTGACAGAAGTACAGAATTGTGTAATCTCTGATTTGTCAGCACTTTGCAATATCAGCGATTCCCTACGCTTCTCACTGTCAGCTGTTTTAGAGCAGACAGCCCGCCATTCCCGCAATGTCGTGATGAAATTAGGCCCTGATTAAGGCACGAGAGAGATTGATGTCTCTAGTTGAGCAGTGGGGCACTGCGCCCTTCTGGGGCATTGCACGGTCAGGGCAGCAGGGATGTCCCGGTGCCTTTTAACACAGTGGATCCGTGCCAGACAGGCTGATGCTTGGTCTGGACCATTTCCACGAAGACACTATCATGCTATTATGTTCAGCTTTTATTTATTGCTACTGCTACTTCCTGAGGGCTGCCACCTCTTTCAATAAAGGGCAAGGAAGAATTGAGAACAAGTGCAGGGAAGGCGCAGAGGTCCAGCATGCCAGCCTTCCCGCTGGGCTCTTCCTGACCTGCTAAGTCTTTCCAAGGAGTCCATGCAAGTATTTTTTTGTTTCATGCAAATTGTTAACGCCTGTTCGTGGTGGCAATGGGAGACTCCACAGCTTTTGAAGTATGGTGGTGTAAAAGGCTGGAGGAAGATCACTGCTTGTGTGTTGCTTTTGAAGTGAATCACCGTTCTTGAGAGAAAGCTGCTCTAGTCTAATGGTCCCAAAGTGGCATGTGAACAGAGATGGTAGAGGGCACAGCAGAAAGAGGGACACTCATGAGGAAGAGGAAAAAAAATGAGTTACCCAGAAGATCCTGCAGCTACTTGATCAGTAGTGCATGCTTCATTAGGATATAATAAAAAATTCTTGAACATGGGCATGGAATAGAGTTCCAGCTTCAAGATAAAAATAGGAGGCACTTTGCTCTTGGGTAACTGTAGGACTGAGTTTTAAAGTTTAACTTGTCTTTGAGCAGGACTAGTAAAAACTGATAGTGTGATACTCTGGGTGATAGAAGGGAGGTAAGAAGTGGAAATGAAGGAGGGAGAAGGTGCTTGGTATGCAGTCAGGTTAGGATGCAATTATTCAGAGCTTCACAGTTTGAAATAGCTGCCCTTACCTTTTGTAAAGATTAAACAGCACACTTAAGCCCTGTGGGCCTGCCTGTGCACACATCCTCCAAAGTCACTATTAATTCTGTCATACCACAGAGACACATCCCACCTTGCAAACGCATAGAGAGACCAGATCTACACCCCGAGTAGCTCGCAGAGTAATTGAAAGACATTATTCAAGCAGGCTAAAGGTCAGGTTCAGTCTTGTAAGAGTAGATGGTGATGAAGAGAATCTGAACTGAGAAGCGATGCAAGTGCGTTCTGTGACAGAGGCTGAAAATCTGACTCAGTATTTACATGCTAGAAAAGGATACCTACAAGTCAGGATTGGGAGCCTGGAAAATACAAGGGCTACAGATAGTAATGTCCCGAACTAAGTGTCCAAATTAACATCCTGACACGTTGTCCTAGCAGACTGCATGGACTCTGTGCTTTGTCTTACGAGGTTTTCTTAAACCACATCATCAAATTGACACAACTCTTGAATTTCTCTGTTGCCCGCTCAGGAACACAACAGCAGCAGCTCTGAACCTGACCAGAATCTTGTTAATTTTAAGCTGCTGCTGGGCAGACTGTGATCAGCAAAGACACTGATGTCTGTGTGCACTTTCTGGGAAATACTGCAAGGGTTTGAAAGCTGTGTGCCTTTGGAAGGCGCTGCCCTTTTGTTTTGTTTTCTCCCCCACAAGAAGCAAAGTGGGCTTGTTCAGAAGGGTCTGCTATCCTGAGTTGCTCCGTACATCGGCCTTCACTCCTCGTGAGTGTTGGTTGCAGAACACATACTGAATAGCAGGATTTTGTGTTTCAGTTTTGGGTGCTTCTTGCAGCGAGAAATGGGATTTACACTGGGCACAGCAATACCGCAGGAACAGGTGCTTAGTTACCACCAGTGGTTTTCAGCCGAAATGGGATCATGGGCAGGTGGTAACTGGAATTTTCAACCTCTTTTCTAAAGAGAAAGAAGGGAACGTTGTTGGGTATATACAAGGAGGGTGTTTGCTCTAACTATAGCAGGATCTGTAGAAAAAGGTCAGAAGACGAGTAGAAAGTGAGAAGAATAAAGGAGTTGGGAGCTGAGATTAAGCAGAGGAGCACAGACACTTTAGAAAGTAAACACGAGGGTCTTGAATGTGATACAGACAGGGAGGGGAGCAGGGGTGGTGAGGAGACAGGAGTAATGATAAACTTAGTAGTAACATACAGAATGGGGCAAAGGGGGGAGAGGAGGTAGAATGAAATGCCGTGGGGAGGTGTGGGGAGGAGGCAGCAGCATACAGAGCAGCCACACAAGTGGGGGCAGGTTGCAGTGCAGCCTCCCACATGGATATCAAGGAGTTGCAGTGTGGAAGAAGGTGGAGAGAAGGAGGGGGAGAGGAGGGAGCTCTTCTCTTCCCCATCACCTACGGGTGAGGAAAACATTGATCAAATACCCACAAGCAAGAGAGTGACATGAAAAATTATTCACTTGAAGCCCAGTTCAGAGACAGTGCTTGGGTTGAAAGCTCCCTCATCTTAGCAAGGTTGAGACTTCTCAGAGGCATGTCACCATGATCTGTGGCAGTTTTCCCTCCCTGTTCTCACTCCGTACTGGCCACTGGCTCCCACTGCTCGGGAGATGCACGTATACGTTCCTTCTGTACAAATACCTGAGTGGGGTCTGCCCTTGTTCAGAGTGACTGCATTCACAGGGCAGTCCCTCTCGGTAGGTACTGCCCTGGGCTATAGGTCACGTAAGCCTTGCTGAGCTCAGACGAGTTCCCTTCCTTGCAAAAGCCTCTGCAAACACACTTTAGTACAGTGCTGGAAAAAAATACGCCAGGGCATCCAGACCAACAGCTGGCTGTAATGGAGGAGATCAGACAGCAGTGCAAGCATTGAAAAGTGCAGATACTGGGAGCAGAAGGAATCCATAGAGTGAGCAATGAAAAAAAAATTAAGATGATAAAAAAATTGAAGCAGCATACTGTGCTACTTAAGTGAGAGACCCTGAGGCCTCAGGATTTGTCTTGCAAAGGAAATGGCAGAAATACTGGCACCTGAGATGTTTAAAACAGGACGTGAAAAACCTCTACTGAGAATGTATGTGGGGATCAAATGGATGAGATGACCTGACTTTTTTTTCATACCTCACTCTTTGGAAAACCTCCCACCCAAGTCATAGCCAGACTGGTTTTCAGTGCCAACTGGGACCTGAGAGTACCACTGAAGCTCGCCTGGGTACAGGCCAAAGCCTGGAAATACTTCTCCAGTGGTTTTCTCCACAGTATATGCTGAATTTGCTCTTATTTTAATGTCTCTTCATTTCACAGTAGTAGGAAATAAAACCACGAGACAGTGCAGACAAATGTAGGTCTAACAAAAGGTGTATCGTAAATAACAAGAGAGGACTGAAGTGTAAGTCCAAACTTTATCCAGGTCTTATTTACTTAACATTACTTTAATTTCTTTTCATTCCAGGTAACGTGGGTCCAAACTCCACCACGAGCGATAAAAACAAACAATCTACCTGTGTGTTATCTTGATTGGGAAGGATTGTCTGGAGAACTGAAGACTGAACAAGCTGGAACAGTAACCTCTTGATTGATTTTTTGAACCTACAGCCATATCCTCACGCAGTGGTCTGTAAAGCCACTGCGCAGTCCTGGATGCACCTGGCAGCCCCAGTTAAAGCACATTTACTGGGTGAAGCGTAGACTTTGGATGGTTGGTCCCTTAAATGAGGGTTAGCGATGAATGTATTAGTCCACATGTCTGTGTGCACACATATTTTATATATAAAAACAACTGTGATGACTGGTCTCAGAGCTCACTCTGTGTCCAGATAAATGCAGGAGATTTCTGACTTACTTGTGCTGCTACATCAGTCTGTCTAGCTGCAGACTCAGAATCACTGTGTTGCATTGTTTATGCTACTGCACTGCAGAAATGTATTGGTCTGACTGGCTGGAAGGCTACATCCAATCGAAGTGGCAAATTCTGGGTGAAATAAGGATGTTTAGAGACAGCGTAGCAATCCTTTGTCCACAAGGAGTCTTCCTGTAGATTCCTGTTGTCACTTATCCACACAGAAATGAGTGGTCTGGGAGAAGGGTTTAGCTAGCAGAGGCCAACAGATTAGTATCTGAACTGTTTCATGTCATAAATATAGCAGCCAAACAAAGTGACTTAGCAAGAATGTAGTAAAGACAAAAAATGGAATATAGGGGGATGTTTAACCTGCAGTTGAGACTAGGTCAGAAGAAATGCCTTATAAGGGGGACTGGGCAGATCTGGGAGCAATAATGCAGCCTTCAGTGGCTATTACAAAATCCTGTTTGTTCCTAATTCAGCAATACTTTACCATTCATGGAAACTGAATGATTAAGGAGCACATCTTTGAGGGTTGAAAGAGGAAGCAGAGGAGGCATACAAGCTTTTCAAATGTTCCTTTTTTTTTTTTTCCAAGTTAACCTTTCCAAACTCTAAATCATGTCAAAATCAAGAGCTTTGATCCGTAAGAAGCATTGCATGCAATCAGACCAAAGGCCATCTAATCTGCTATCCTGTGTCTGAGGATAGCCAGTAACAGGTGATCACAGTAGCACAAAATATAAACTTGTATACAGAGGTCTTTCTCTGACACTGTCCCAGCAGTCTGTGGACTTTCTGAACTGGCAGTTCCTGCTGGACCTGGCCTTAATGAATGCACTTGGTCCCTTTTTAAAAATCCTTCTCTACTTTTGGCCTCCACAGTGTTCTGTGGCAATGAACGCTGAGTTCATTGTGTGGTATGAAAAAAGAACCATTGCCAGGCTGTTTTAATGGTTTTCTTGATTATTTCATCGAGTGACCCTAATTCTTCCACTGTCAGGTGGAGTGATGACCACCCCTATTCCTTGTCTCCTTGCCACTTGTGATTTTACAGACCTGTATCATATATATCATCACGTTTTCCAAGTTGCAGGTTCATGGTATATGTAGCTATTCATTATATGGGACCTGATTGACACCTCTGTCCTCTTGTTCACTGGCCCTTTTCCAATTCTACCCACTAACAGAGTGGAGAAGCGGAGAAGCAGGTTGTTTTTATTTCTTCAGTGTGTGGATTGATGTTTCACTCTGCTTTCTTGCCATCTAAATTACATACTCTGCTGTCATAAATAAGCCCTCTTGTGATACCCAAGAAAAAGAAATCCTAATTGTAAGTAGACACCTGAAAACTAACATACCTACTTGCAAAAGAACCATTCAGACATCAGAAAAACATCTCTCTTGTTTAGAGAAACTGGGTTTTTCACTACACAAGAAATTCACAGCAAAGGCAACTGCTGCACTCCCAACACAGAACAAGCTGTTCCAAAGACTATTCCAGGTGCTGGGTTGCCGTAGTGGTTGTTACATTGAAACAGCTGTCTGTAGCTGGCGATAAAATGCAATTGATTGATTGATTGATGGTTGATTAACTGCCTTTCCTGGAAGTCTATTTAACTTGAATGGCAAGCAGCTCTGTTTTGCTCTGCGTTTACTCTGCAGAACGTCTTGAGACCCTAAAATACCAAAGGTGGTCTGCCCTCTGTTAAACATACTCATCTTCACTTGGTGGGTTAAATGCTTGCTACTCTATATAGCTATTCTATATAGCCTTCTGGGAACAAGCTGCACTTTTACAGCTGGGTCTGTCAGCTCCTATTATCAGCAGTGTTTTATAAAATTGTTCCTGGTAATGGGAGAAAAGAGGTGTTGGAAATGACACCATCACTTGGATGTAGAAGTAACAATACATGAGTTATCCTGTTGGCTTCAGGTGTACAGCTCGTGTGCCAAAAGCTACTCACTGTTTGTTTGTAGGGATGTCTAAAATGGCTTGATTTTGCCATATTTCCGTTATTGTCCAGATGTTTGGGAGATTTTTTTTCTCTCCTTGTATTTATTTCACTTTGTTAGCAGAGATCAGAGATAAGTTTATCAGGCCAACATTGTTCCACTTTTCATTCTGATAGGATCATTGTCATCTGGTGCTTCCTTGTTCTCCCAGACTTTTAAAATATTTATTTATTTTTTAATTGTGCAATAGGTTAATTAACTAATTAGTACCATGTTGATATATATGGTCAGGTTTTCCAGGAAGTCCTCTATCTCTTTGTTTTTATGTCTTTGTTGCTTCATCTTGGGTGGAGTGATTTCACAAATAGTCCGAGAGGCTGATTTCACTTGCTGTTCCTTTCTTTCTGTGCTTACTTATTAGCATGCTTTACTTTCTCTTTCCTGTGACAGATGTGAGAGTGCTTTACTTTAACCTTGTCAACTAACAGGATCTCCTTTCCAGAGAGTCTCTCATCTGTTTGTCTTCTGTTTCGTTGCCACACCAGTTGCTGAAAGGTAGTGTTCCCTTGTTTTTAAATTCCTTCCCCTGTCACAGAAGTCTCATGCCTTGACTCCAGGGGCTAGTAGAATTCCTTAAGCTTATCACGCACTGTTTAATGACTTAATTTGAGAGAGCAAACTTGCCTTCTTGCATGATATGAATCTGCTCCTTAAACTCAGTGTGACTCTTTGGGGATGCATGCAGCCTTGCTGATCCAGAGTGGATGTTTCAGACTCTGGTGGAACTTGTTCCTCCCTGAAGATAAGATCAGCTGAACTTGGACTATTTGGCTGCTCCTATGGCAACAGATCTGAGTCTGGGTGAGGTGACCGCATTTATTTTGACTAGTTTTGCTAATTGTGGTTCTTGATGAGTGCTAGAAACTTGAGGCTGTGACCTGTAAAATCAATCTCTTGTCACTCTCCAGATAAAATGTGGTGGATGGTGCTGGGGGACAGAGGGGCAAGGAGCAGTGGTTAAGAATTCTGTTGGAAGTCTGCTAGCGGAGGCTGGAAGTACAGCAGTACCTACAGCAGTCATCAGATAAGCTATCATTTGGTCCTTGCCCAAGATGCCACCTCCTGCAACCAAGTCACTAACCTCCCAAGGGGGTGGGAAAGATGGGAGACATTTGTTGTTCTGTTGCTATTTTAAAGAACAAGATTAGCTCTCTGGCATCTGCGTCCTGACCCTGGACAGTCCTAAGAGGACGCCTGTTCTCCAGATCTCATTTACTCTTTGGCTTGTCAGCCCAGGTTTGCTGGCCTGTGTGGCGTACCATGGGGCCTACGCTTGCAGTCCTGGTTTTGGACAGAGAGTAACGAAGCTGGAATTCACAGCTCTTTCTTTCTGGTGTGAAATGGTAAGTGGTTCTGAATGAGCCTCTTGGCTGAATGTGTGCCTTCTGGGTTTCTTTTGGTATGCATTTGTTATATTTCATGTATATGTGTCCAGTGAATTATTCCGGAGACCTTTTCTAAGTCATACAAATAAACTCTTTGCTATGTTACATTCAGATAGTTTGTTCATTGGTGTCGCTTTTAATTTCTCAGCTACAGTTCCTGGGTTTGGGGGATTTTTCTTGTTTATTTGTCAAGAACCTGTACTGTCTGGATTAGAGCAGGTTTCTGTGTAACATGTGAACATGTTTAGCCAATGTTTGGCAGTGCTTGTTAAAAGATGTGTGAGCAGCTAAATTCCCTGCAAGTACAGTGTCCTGTGGCTTTGAGTACCTTGAGAGAGACTAATTCATTCCTGCTTTCTCGTTGCTGGAGTAGGCTGTAGCAGATGTCCACTTCAGTTTTTCTTTACTTGCTTTATTTTTTACTACCGCTCTCTTTGCAACTGACCTGTATCTTGCTGCAGCTATAAATGCATCTGACAAAGTGCCACCACTGTTTCCCTTTCCATCTTACATAATTTGTACCCATCAGCAATGACATTTCATTTATGAAACTGAGTCCCTCTGCTGTATTTCAGTCTTACCTGGTACAATGTAATCCTTGACATTTAAGTAACTCCCAAGCTCTTGTTTCCCATGCTCCCTTTGTTTGTGTATACAAAAGCCTGTTTTAAAATTCCTGACCATGTTTCAGAATAAATTCAGCCTCTAGTTTACTTTTGGGCATTAAGGTACATGAAAAAGTATTTGCAATAAACAAAATCCTCGTCTTTCTTTCAGTGTTTAAACTCCACATCGCAATTGGATTTGTACCCTTAAAGAGGAGTCTGTCTAATTCAAGCTTTTCACAGGTATGTCTGTGGATCCTGAGCCTCTTTCTTTATAGTATTAGCACCACCATCACCTTGTGCCTTTTCTTTTTTCTGCACTTGTTTTAGGGAGGTTCTCCAAGAAAGTAAAATAAACTTGTCCTTCCCCTCACTTCACTGCAACTTCAGTATTACACTTTTCTCTTGTTTCTTGACACTTTTGTCTGTGCTTTTTTAAAATCAGGGAACAGTCCAGGAATGAATGACCTCTTTGTGTCCCTAGACCTTATGTCCCCTGCCCTTAGCCTGCTGAAGAAATGCAAATTTGGGAATCCTCCTTAATAAGCAAGGCTTAGGAAAAGCACAGTCAATGACTGTATGAACCATCTTGGAAGAAAATCCTATGGACGTAGATGAAACAGTAAGGCCTTTATGCATGTAGGAAGGCTGGCAGATGTTTACCTCACT